ATATATATATATATATATATATATATATATATATGTAAATACAGATACAACTCATATTGATTGGAAAATGTTGTGAAATGATTATATAAACCAATGTGATTTAGATTCAACACATTACCCATAAAATCCCCTATCAGTTTTGTTAAAGAAACAAAAAACACGCTTGGAAAGGGGGCTCACGTCTGTTGGCCAGGCTGGTTCAAATCTCCTGACCTTAAGCGACCTAACCATCTTGGCCTCCCACAGTGCTGGGATTACAGGCGTGAGCCACCTTTTGTGGCTCTATCTTCTTAACATAAACATTTTAATGTCAATTAATGCTTGAACTCAATGTTAAGTCAACTCAAAGTGAAGTCAATGCTGAATTGACTCTAATGTCAATTAATTCTTGATGGCTGCTTATTCAATGCATTTTGAACAATTATCTCCAGAATGAATTTTCTCATGTTCTGCAAGGAGTGACCTCGGACTAAAGACCATGCCACACTTAGGACATTTGTAAGATTTCTGTCCGGTATGGATTCTCTGATGTCTAATGATGTGTGAATGTAAAGTAAAACTTTGCCCCCGTGATCACACTGGTGAGGTTTCTCTCCTGTATAAATTCTATGTTTTGCATAAGGTGAAGTATGACTGAAGACCTTGCCACAATCATGACATTTTTAGGGTTTCTCTCCAGCATGAGTTGGCCGATAAACTGAAAGGTATGAACGATGCTCAAAAAATCTGCCACATTTATCACACTTGTAAGATATCTTTCCACTATGAATTCTCCAATAATTTGCAATGGTTGTAGCGTTAGTGAAGACTTTGTAACAATCTTTACATTAATAAAGTTTCCCTATACCATGGATTGCTTGATGACGAATAAGTGTTGACTGTCCACTAAAGGCTTGGCCACACTCATTACCCGTGTAAGTTTTCTTTCCATTGTGAATTCTAGTATGTTATGCCAGGTATGAATCATGCCCGAAAACCTTGTCACAAATCTCAGATGTCTATGGTTTCTGTTCAGTATGAATTATCCTGTGTCTTTCAAGGTGACTTGGGACTGAAAACGTCACATTCTTCACATTTGTAAGTGTTCTCTCCAGTATGAAGTCTATAATGATGAGCAAGATTTGATTTTTGATTAAAAACCTTGTCACATTCATTACACTTGTAAGCTTTCTCTCTAGTATGAATTGCCTTATGAATTAAGAGATCAATTTCGATTGAAGGACTTGCACCACTAATTACACTTGTGGGGTTTCTCTCCAGTGTGAATCCTAGTATGTTCTGCCAGGTATAAATTACACGTGAAAGCCTTGTCACAAATCTTACATCTGTAAACTTTCTCTTCACTATGACTTTTCTTTTTTTTTTTTTTTTTGAGACGGAGTCTCGCTCTTGTTACCCAGGCTGGAGTGCAATGGCGCGATCTCGGCTCACCGCAACCTCCGTCTCCTGGGTTCAGGCAATTCTCCTGCCTCAGCCTCCTGAGTAGCTGAGATTACAGGCACGCGCCACCATGCCCAGCTAATTTTTTGTAGTTTTAGTAGAGACGGGGTTTCACCGTGTTGACCAGGATGGTCTCGATCTCTTGACCTCGTGATCCACCCGCCTCGGCCTCCCAAAGTGCTGGGATTACAGGCTTGAGCCACCGCGCCCGGCCCACTATGACTTTTCTTATGCGTTTCAAGATGTGATTTGTGAGTGAAAACTTTGTCACATTTTTCACATTTATAAGTTTTCTCTTCAGTATGAAGTTTATGATGACATGCAAGGGTTGCTTGTCGGTTAAAAACCTTGCCACATTCATTACACTTGTAAAGTTTCTCTCCAGTATGAAGTCTACAATGGCGTACTAGATTTGGCATCTGACTGAAGGTCTTGCCACACTCATTACACTGTAAGGTTTCTCTCCAGTGTGAATTATACTGTGTTTTGCTAGGTGAGAATCTCTTCTGAAAGGCTTGTCACAGACCTTACATTTGTAAGGTTTCTCTCCAGTATGAATTCTATGATGGCATGTAAGTGCTGACTTTTGAATGAAGGTCTTGCCACACTCATGACACTTGTAAGGTTTCTCTCCAGTATGAAGTCTACAATGATATGTAAGGGATGACATCTGATGGAATTTCTTGCCACACTCATGACACTTATAAGGTTTCTCACCAGTATGAAGTCTATGATGGCATGCAAGGGATGATATGTGACTGAAAGTTTTGCCACACTCATGACACTTGTAAGGTTTCTCTCCCGTATGAAGTCTATGATGGCATGTAAGGGATGACACCTGTCTGAAGGCCTTGCCACACTCATTACACTTGTAAGGTTTCTCTGCAGTATGAAGTCTATGATGACATACAAGGCGTGATTTTTTATCAAAACCCTTGCCACATTCATTACACTTGTACGGTTTCTCTCCAGTATGAATTGCCTTATGAATTACAAGTGATGAATTTCGACAGAAGGTCTTGCCACAGTCATTACACTTGTAAGGTTTCTCTCCAGTGTGAATCCTAGTGTGTCGTTTAAGGTTTGACTCTTGTCTGAAAGCCTTGTCACAAACCTTACATTTGTAAGGTTTCTCTCCAGTATGAAGTCTATGATGGCATGTAAGGGATGACTTATAATTGAAGGTCCTGCCACACTCATTGCATTTGTAAGGGCTGTCTGCAGTGTGAATTCTAGTATGTATTGCCAGGTGTGAATTACGCCGGAAAGCCTTGTCACAAACCATACATTTGTAAGGTTTCTCTCCAGTATGAAGTCTACGATGCTCTGTAAGGTGTGACTTTTGAATGAAGGTCTTGCCACACTCATGACACTTGTAAGGTTTCTCTCCAGTATGAAGTCTACAGTGGTGTTGAAGAGATGACATCTGATGGAATTTCGTGCCACAGTCATTACACTTGTGAGGTTTGTCTCTAGTATGAAGTTTACGATGGCATGTAAGGGATGACACCTGACGGAAGGTCTTGCCACACTCATTACACTTGTAAGGTTTCTCTCCAGTATGAAGTTTACGATGGCATGTAAGGGATGACACCTGACGGAAGGTCTTGCCACACTCATTACACTTGTAAGGTTTCTCTCCAGTATGAAGTCTATGATGGCGTTTAAGGCATGACTTGTCACTAAAGGACTTGCCACACTCATTACACCTGTAAGGTTTCTCACCAGTGTGACATCTACGATGGCGTACAAGATACCGCTTCTCATTTAAGACCTTGCCACACACATCACATTCATATTGTTTCTTTCCTAAATGGTTTATCTGATGTTTCTTTAAGAATGAGCTACAATTGAGGTTGTCATTGGCTGAAAAAAGAAAAAAAAGAAAAAAGAAATGAAAAGAATGAGCTAAAATTAAGGCTTTCCCACTCTCATGACATTGGAAGGATTTTTCTCTCATGTGTACTTTCTGTGTAAATAATGAAGAATGGAGGAAATTACTGTCATGCTTATTAGAAATATGGGTTTTGGCTATAGAAAAAATTATTTGGGATGTTGAAACTAAGGAGGCATCATTGATAGACTTCTCAACCTGATTACCAATATTCCCTTCGGTCTGAAACACATGAAGTTTAGGAAGATGGGAATGAAAGATTACTCCAAGTTCATCTATAATAGCCTTGTTTCCAGCATGCCTTTGATCTTATTGGTCTGTACTACCAGTCAGCTTTTTAAATTTTATCATGGATGCTTCATGGTTATTTCTTTCATCTTCTTGCCATTGAAACTCAAAGTCATGACTATGTTTCTCAATTTCCTGCAAGCAAAATTCTCCAATGTGATGACTTTCATGTCTTGCCAATGTCCCTGTGTGGAACACTTCTGTATTGCCTTGCCCTGTTGATGAAAACGTCTTCATTATGCATTTGGAAGAGATATCTACAAAATATAAACTCCATGGCTCCTGGCGAGGACTAATGCTTTTATAAAAAGAGACAGTAAAGAACTTGTTGACTATTCCTCTTTCCACCAAGACAAAACACAGCAGGAAGATGCTTGGGTGAAATCAAAAAGAAGGCTCTCACCAGAAATCAATTTGACTGCACCTTGCTCTTAGATTTCCCACTTTCTAAATTCAAAAGAAATAAATCTCTGTGTCTTAAGCTTCCCAGTTTAAGCAAGTTTTTTTTTTTTTTTCAGATGGAGTCATGCTCTATCACCCAAACTGGAGTGTAATGGCGTGATTCTCCTTGATAAAGAGATTCTCCCGTAGCAGCCTCCCAAGTAGCTGGGACTCCAGCCTGGCTAAATGTATGTATGTGTGTGTGCTTATGTGTGTGTATGGGTGTGTGTGTCCAAATCTCGCTCTGTTGTCCAGGCTGCACTGCAGTGGCATAATCGTGGCTCACTGCCATCTTCGCCTCCTGGGATCCAGTAATTCTTTGGCCTCAGCCTCCCAAGTAGCTGGGATTACAAGTGCATGCCACCACACCCAGTTTATTTTTGTACTTTTAGTAGAGATAGGCCTTCACCATCTTGGCAAGGCTGACCTTGGGTTATCTGCCCATCTTGGCCTACCAAAGTGCTGGGATTACAGGTGTGAGCCACCGCGCCTAGTCATTTTTCTGTATTTAGTAGATTCAAGGTTTCAGCATGTTGGCCCCACTGGACTCAAACTCCTGACCTGAAGCGATCCAACCACCTTGGCCTTTCAAAGTCCTGGGAATAAAGACGCGAGCCACTGAAGTCAGGCAGTCTACCTATTTCTGACATGACAGTGAAATGACTGAGACAAAAAAACAGGCTCTCACCATCAACATCACCCAAGGCTGACAAATCATATTAAACAAAGTTTAGAGTCTCTAGCAGAAAACTTTCAATATGTGAAGACATCTATTTAACTTGTTTTAAAAAACACAGAGGCAGCCAGGTATGGTGGCTCACACCTGTAATCCCAACACTTTGAAAGGCTGAGGTGCGCAGATCTCCTGAGGTCAGGAGTTCAAAAATAGCCTGATCAACATGGAGAATCCACATCTCTACTAAAAATACAAAATCAGCCAGGTGTGGTGGCGCATGCCTGTAATCCCAGCTACTTGGGAGCCTCAGGCATGAGAAGTGATTGAACCCAGGAGGCAGAGACTGCAGTCAGTCAAGATTGTACCACTGCACTGCAGCCTGGGCAATAATTGGAAAACTCTATCACAAAAAACAAAAAACAAACAAACAAAAATAAAACCTGAAGGCAAATTGTTACTTCTTAAGTAAGGACAGCAGGTTTACAGTATTCATGTACTTGACCCAATTTACACGTTTGGTAAGTGAGGGACAAAACTTGATCCTGGGCCTGAAAGATCCCACGACATGTTCTTAAGTACAACAGTCGCCCAGGTAGTAAAGAAAACAGTCAGTCCCAGAAAATACAAGGAGACAGAAAGAAATACATGAAGGGGGATACAAGGGCTGAGCTGCGCTGCTGACAGTGATGCTGAGCCATCCCTTATGGAGAATATGCTGACCAAATTTTGAGCTTGGAGGAAAGTGGAACTAATTTAGCAAATGGTTAAATATTAAACCAAGGTTAAATATGCAAATTACAATATGGGTAGGGGACAAGAATGAAAGAGAGCCAAAAAAGCAGCAGTTTGGTGACATGAGGTCAAAGCAGTTTTACATCTCTTAAGTTAAACGGCCTCTGATTTCTAGTTTCCGGCATATACTCAACAAAATTCCCTGTGTAGATTCCAGAATTGTGTACACCCAAGAAAAAAATTAGTAAACTCTATGAAAGAGTACAGCAGTGTAGGAGACCATTTGGGTGAAAAATGATCCCCTGGCTGAGTAGGTACAGATGTGTAACAACAGCGCCAGGCCTGGCACAGTAGCTCATGCCTGTAATCCAGCACTTTGGGAGGTCGAGGCGATGGATCATGAGGTCAGGAGATTGAGACCAGCCTGGCCAGCATGGTGAATCCTCATTTCTTTTTAATCCTCATTTCATTTGTATATGTAAAATATACAAAATATTAGCCAGGCGTGGTGGTGTGCGCCTGTAACCCCAGCTATTTAGGAGGCTGAGGAAGGAGAATTGCTGGAACCTGGGAAGCTGAGGTTGCAGTAAGCCAAGATCATGCCATTGCACTCTTGCCTGGGTGACATAGCGAGACTCCATCACCAAAAAAAAAAAAAGGAAACAGAGTCAGATGGAGATTGTTGCCTACACATGCAACAGGTCACACTGGTGAGGAAAAACGATAATGCGCTGTTGAGACACATTAAGTATGCCCTGCCCCTGTGGCTCCCTTGTGGAGAATACCTTTTAGTTTGTAATCAGTGGTAGGTGAGTCACCACCCCTAGTCAATTTTTTGTACTTAGTACATTCGAGGTTTCTCCCTGTTGGCGTGTCAGGACTCAAACACCTGACCTGAAGCGATCCACCCATTTTGTCCTCCCAATGTGCCAGGATTAGAGGTGGGAGCCGCCGTGGATGGCCAGTCTAAGCTATTTCTGAGAGGACAGTGAAAAAACTGAGAGAGAAAAAGGAGCATCTTATCATCAACATCACCGAGGCTGACAAATCTTATTACACAAAGAAAGTTTAGAGTCTGTTCTATAAAACTTGCAATATGTGTTGCCGGGCGCGGTGGCTCAAGCCTGTAATCCCAGCACTTTGGGAGGCCGAGGCGGGTGGATCACGAGGTCAAGAGATCGAGACCATCCTGGTCAACATGGTGAAACCCCGTCTCTACTAAAACTACAAAAACTTAGCTGGGCATGGTAGCACGTGCCTGTAATCCCAGCTACTCAGGAGGCTGAGGCAGGAGAATTGCCTGAACCCAGGAGGCGGAGGTTGCGGTGAGCCGAGATCGCGCCATTGCACTCCAGCCTGGGTAACAAGAGCGAAACTCTGTCTCAAAAAAAGAAAAAAACCAAAAAACTTGCAATATGTGAAGCCATCTAATTAACATGTTTTTAAAACCTAGAGGCAGCTGGGCGTGGTGGCTCACGCCTGTAATCCCACCTTTATTTTATTTTATTTTATTTTTTTGGGACAGAGTTTCACTCGTTACCCAGGCTGGAGTGCAATGGCGCGATCTCGGCTCACCGCAACCTCTGCCTCCTGGGTTCAGGCAATTCTCCTGCCTCAGCCTCCTGAGTAGCTGGGATTACAGGCATGCGCCACCATGCCCAGCTAATTTTTTGTATTTTTAGTAGAGACGGGGTTTCACCATGTTGACCAGGATGGTCTCGATCTCTTGACCTTGTGATCCACCCGCCTTGGCCTCCCAAAGTGCTGGGATTACAGGCTTGAGCCACCGCGCCCGGCCTTTAAAGGCTGAGGGTGGGTGGATCACCTGAGGTCAGGAATTCCAAACCAGGCTGACCAACATGGAGAAACCTCATCTGTACTAAAAATACAGTATTAGCTGGGAGTGGAGGCGCATGTCTGTACTCCCAGCTACTTGGGAGCCTGAGGTATGAGAATTGCATGAAAGTAACATTACTTCTCAAACAAGAACAGCAGCCCCACAGTACTCAGGTACCTGACCCCAATTGTCATGTTCAATAAGTGAGGGACAAAACTTGATCCTGAACCTGAAGGGTCCCACGACATGTTCTTAAGCACAATAGTCACCCAGGCAGTACAGAAAATGACCAGTCACAGAAAATACAAGGAGACAGGAAGAAATACATCAAGGGTGATACAAGGGCAGAGCTGTGCCACTGACAGTGATGCTGAGCCATCCCTCATGGAGAACGTGCTGAGTCATTCATGCCCTGCACACACTGATTTAGGCAGCCTCCTATAATTACGTCCAGTGGATGTATAAGGTCCTGACTTACTCAGTGAGAGTCATGCTGGAGGGGAGGAGCTCATGTGGAAATTGGGGTATTCAGCCTTACAAATCAACAGGCTGGAAAGCAGCAACATTTTGCATCCGGATCAATGTAGCATGTGAGGCAAGGCCAGGAAAGGAAGGGCAAGGGTGGAGGGCAGAAGTAATGGGCATGCAGGAGTCAACGGTGTGCATGCTTGTCTGTGGGAATATAATCCCACCAGTATAGACCAAATTTTGAGCTTGGAGGAAAGTGGAACTAATTTAGCAAATGATAAAATACTGACCCAAGGTTAAATGTACAAATTACAATATGGGCAGGGGACAAGAAGGAAGGAGAGCCGAAACAGCAGCAGTAGTGACCTGAGGTGAAGGCAGTTTTACACCTCTTAAACGGCCTCTGATTTCAGTTTCAAGCACATACTCAACAAAATCCCTGTATAGATTCCAGAATTGCGTACAAACAAGAAAAAAACAAGTAAACTCCATGAAATAAAGGACAGCAGTGTAGGGCACTAGGGGGGTGAAGAATAATTCCCCGCTGAGTAGGTAGAGATGTGTTTGTGAGAACTGAGCAAGGCCGGGCACAATGGCTCATGCTTGTAATCCCAGCCCTTTGGGAGGGTGAGGCGGGCAGAGTATGCGGTCAGGAGTTTGAGACCAGCCTGGCCAACATGGTGAAATCCCGTGTATGCTGAAAATACAAAAATTAGCTGGGTCTGGTATTACATCCCTGTAATCTCAGCTACTTAGGAGGCTGAGGCAGGAGAATCACGTGAAACAGAAAGGCTGAGGTTGTGGTGAGCCAAGATCGCACCATTGCACTCCAGCCTGGACAACAAGAGGAAAACTCCATCTCAAAAAAAAAAAAAAAAAAAAAAAAAGAGCCTGTATAGAGCAAAATCACAGCAGAGAATACAAAAGCAGAAAAAGCCAAGATAGACAAGGGCAGATTCCTCATGTCTGGAGGGACATTTTCCTCACCCACAGACTCCAGGTTCCTGTAGTTCTCCAACATCACGTCCCTGTATAAAGCCCTCTGAGCAGGGGTCAGGCATTTCCACTCTGCCAAAGAGAATTCTATAGCCACATCCCTGAAAGTCAAGCGTCCCTAAAATGAAAAATTATGGAGGACTGAGTTATTACCTTCATACTAAGTGAGAAAAGAGAAATTAAGTATCCATTTCATCAAAGACTGTGTTCTAACAAATGTAAGTAGTGTAAGGTATTTTTGAACATTTTTTCTCTATAGTTGCATTTTACTGCCCCCTTCTTTTTTTTTTTTTTTTTTTTTTTTTTTTTACTGATAACAGTATCTGAGAATTTTAAGCTTTATTGCACTTTTTCATGAAGCATTTTAAGATCCCCTAAGTCACTGTGGAAGTCTTGATTTTATGGACAATATGAGAAATATACAAATAAGAAGAAAACACCGGGCCGGGCGTGGTGACCCATGCCTGCTATCCCAGCACATTGGGAGGCAAAGGTGGGCAGATCATTTGAGGTCAAAAGTTGGAGATCGGTCTGGCCAACCTGGTGAAACTCTTGTCTCTACAAAAAGTATAAAACTTAGCCAGGTGTGGTGGCAGGCACCTGTAATCCCAGCTACACAGGAGGCTTAGGCAGGAGAATCACTTGAACTCAGGACACGGTGGCTGAAGTAAGCTGAGATTGCACAACTGTACTCCTACCTGGGTCACAGAGTGAGACACCGTCTCAAAAAAAAAAAAAAAGCAAGGTCAGGCACAGTGGCTCACACATGTAATCCCAGCACTTTGGGAGACCAAGGCGGATCACGACATCAGGAGTTCAAGATAAGCCTGGCCAACATGGTGAAATCTGGTCTTTCCTATAAATACAAAAGTAAGCCAATGTGGTGGCACACACCTATAGTCCCATCTACTCAGCAGGCTGAGGCAGAAGAATCACTTGAACCCAAAAGACGGAAGTTGAAGTGAGCCGAGACTGCACCTCTGCACTCCAGCTTGGGTGACAGAGAAAGACTACAACGTAAACATTGGCCACGTGTAGTGACACATGTCTATCATTCTAGCTCTTTGGGAGGACAAAGTAGGAATCACTTGAGCCCAGCAGGCAAGGCTGCTATAAACTTTGAATTGTGCCAGTGTGCTCCACACCTAAGCCACGGAGCGAAACCTTCCCTCTCTCTCTTTTTATTTTCTTTCAGACGAAGTCTCACTGTGTCGCCCAGGCAGGAGTGCAATGGAACAATGTCGGTTTGCTGTAACCTCCACGTCCCATGTTCAAGTGATCCTCCTGCCTCAGCCTCCTGAGTACCTGAGATTACTGTAGGTGTGTGCCACCACACCCTGTTAATTTTTGTATTTTTAGTAGAGATGGGGTTTCACCATGTTGGCCAGGCTAGTCTTGAACTCCTGAGTCCAAGTGATCCACCCACCTTGGCCTCCCAAGCTGCTGGGATTACATGCTTGAGCCACCGCACTCGAACTAACAAGCTGTCTCTTAAAACATGAAAAAATAAAGTTTGGAGTCAGAGACGTGTTGATCTACTAGTGTGGCTTCCAATGCATTACCAAATCAGTAACAAAATAGCTCCCCTTATTGGTCTCCTTTTCCAGAATTTACCAGATATCTGTGCACATTAACCTATGTGTTTCATACGTAGTTTCTCTGGTTCACAAAGAGCTGATATCCAGATGTGGCTCCTGAACAATCCAGGCTGCCCAGCAGCACTGATACCGGGGGGCCCAACCCCCATGTCCATCCAGGTCTGGGTGTCAACCCTTCCCATGATTATGTCCAGTGGAGCCCCTTCCCAGATTCATGTCACTGGGGTCACAGGAGATGGAATCTCAGACCAGATGACAGGAACTGAGGGAAGGCATGGGTGAGTGCGAACCAACGTGTCAGGCAGGACGTTTCAAACTCAGAACAGACTGGTTACTACAATACCTGGCATTTCAGAAAGGAAAGAGCCAGATGAATCCACCAAGGAGTGTCACTTTACCTGAGGAAAAGCCATGCCTGGCTCCTTTTCTTTCCTCTTCTGAGCTGCTTCCTCATGTAACATGAGTCTTTAGAAATCAATCCTGTACATGAAAAATACAGTAGACTTTATGTTACAAATGACTCACTCTGTTCCTGTGACAAAAACACACACAAGGGGGAGATCTCACCCTGTAGAAAGATGGGCCTCTGCTGCCCACTGCACCAGAGATCATGCAGAGAGAAGACAGTCCCACAGGAACACCTACAAGTGTGTTTGAGCCCGGTCTTCAGATCTGACTCCCCTCCTGGAGAAGCCCTACACACCAGGCAGCAGTGGGGAGCTGGGCTGGACTGAGCTCACCTTCAGGGCACACACCCAGCCCTGACCAAACCTCATCCAGAGCAGCACAGCCCCTCCCCTCTCTGTGGATCACAGGCTGAGCTCAGCCCTCAGAAACGGAGGACACAGAGCCTTGTCACTGGGTGCCATACACAGATTACTAGGTATTTGTGTGTCACTTATCTGTGACCTGGAAGCCCCCTCCTGCTTCAAGTCTTCCTGCTTTTCCTTCAAGTTGTCCCGCCTTTCCAGCCCAAACCAATGAACCTCTTCCGTATATTGACTGATGTCTCATGTCTCTCTAAAACGTATAAAATTAAGCTGTGCCACCACCACCTTGGGCACATGTCGCCAGGACTTCCTGAGGCTGTGTCATGGGTGCGTCACCAACCTTGGCAGAAGAAGCTTTCTAAAGTAAGTGAGATCTGTCTGAGATTTTCTGGGTTCACAGCTGCAATGACAAATTGGGGGCTGTGGGAGATCACAAAGGTTTTTTTTTTTTTTTTGAGACGGAGTTTTTGCTCTTGTTACCCAGGCTGGAGTGCAATGGCATGATCTCGGCTCACCGCAACCTCTGCCTCCTGGGTTCAAGCAATTCTCCTGCCTCAGCCTCCCAAGTAGCTGGGACTACAGGCGTGCGCCACCATGCCCAGCTAATTTTTGTATTTTTAGTAGAGACAGGGTTTCACCATGTTGAACAGGATGGTTTCGATCTCTTGACCTTGTGATCCACCCATCTCAGCCTCCCAAAGTGCTGGGATTATAGGCGTGAGCCACCGCGCCCGGCCAGATCACAAAGGTTTTTACAGAGAAGGTGATATCAGAACAAAGACCTAGGGAAGAAAGGCTGCTTGTCATTTGCAGCTGAGGGGCCAGAGTCCTAGGCAGAGGGACAGCTCAAGTGAAGACCCTGAGACAGGGGCAACCTCAGCCCCAAGAAAAGGACAGCACCCGTGTGGCTGGAGCAGTGGGAGAGAGGAGGGCACAGGTAGGTGATGAGGTCAGGGAGGTCCTGGGGGCACAGATCGACCCAAAGGGACAAGGTCTTTAAACATTTTTCTCTCACAGTCTAAAAGAATTTTGGAACTTGACTGTAATTGCAGCTACTCAGGAGGCTGCGGCAGGAGAATCTCTCGAACCTGGGAGGCAGAGGTTGCGCTCAAGCATGTGATAGAAGTGTGACAGAGTGACACTCCATCTCAAAGAAAAGGAAAAAAAGGCTGGGTGTGGTGGCTCATGCCTGTAATCCCAGCACACTGTGAGGCTACTGTGGCTGGATAATTTAGCCCCGGAGGTGGAGACCAGCCTGGGCAACATGGCGAAAGCCCTTCTCTTCAAGAACACAAAAATTAGCATGGTGTGGTGGCGCCCATTTGTGGTCGCAGCTACTCCGGAGGCTGAGGTGGGAGGATCCCTTGATCCCAGGAGGTGGAGGCTGCACTGAGCTGTGATCCTGTCACCACTCTCCTGCTTGGGTAACAAGAGTGAGACTCATCTCCAATAAAAAAAAAAAAAAAAGAGAAATTACCTGGGTCCTGGATCTGGGGGCAGGGAATTTAAGGCCAATTAACGGGAACTTTCCAAAACTAGACCAAATGGAAAAACCTCATTTTCCCACATGGAGTAACAAAGGAAAAAAGGCTACTCTCCCTACTGCCCTCCCCCTTCCACCACGTCTCAGATGGAAAAGTAAAGAGCCCAGGAGTGGCCACGGTGCGGCCAAGCACCGGCCACCCCTTCTGCATAGGGCACCCATCTGCTCTGGCCTCGGACCAGTTCACCTCAGCTTTTCATTGGGCAAGGACCAAATCTTTCTTCCAGATTTCAAAAGAAAGGACTTCAAAAGAAAGACTTTAACACCCCAAAACTTTGTAAACGGAGCCCTGGAGGCGCTTACTCGGGCCCACTCCCATTCTGTGAAGTGCTTTCATGATTGAATAAATTCCTGCTTTCGCGGCTTTCTTCTTTTATTTCGTGAGGGTTTTTTTTTTTTTTTTTAAAGATGGGGTTTCACCATGATGGCCAGACTGGTCTTGAACTCCTGACCTTAGGTGATCCACCCACCTCAGCCTCCTAAGTGGTGGGATTACAGGCGTGAGCCACCGCGCCCGGCTTTTTTTTTTTTTTTTTTCAATTTCATGTTCAACACCCAAGAACTTGGACATCTCACACTGAAGGCTGCCTTCCGGTAAAACAGGGCGAGGATGGGATAAGAGGGCTGCCTCCAGGAACAGCACGTTTTCTAGGGGGTGGAACTGGGGAGCAGCAGGGCCCAGCACTAGGAGGGAGTTGGGGGGGGCCACAGGGCTTTGGGACAGAGATGGGGTCTGCAGGTTTCCAGGACCAAGCAGACAACGCGCCTCCCCGGGACTGCGACCGCGGCGCTGCGCTGCAGGGACCGACGAGAGCGAGGCTGGGAGGCGCCCAGGACGGGAATCCAGCAAGTGGCTGAGGACTTGAAACTGTGCAAAGCAGGAGGAGGGGACAGGAAAGGTTTGAGCAGGAAATTTCCGCGACAGGAGGTGGCTGCACGGCCCCACTGAAGAAAGACCGGGGGGGGGGGGCTGCCTCAGGGCGACTTTAAACTCAAAAGGAAGCGATTCACGCACTCTCACCTGGACGTCTCAATTTGTTCCGGGTTGAGAAAGAGGGGCCGGAATTTCTAGGTCTGTGGAGACCCCGCGTCCGGTCTACAAGCACCGGAGGCCTGGGAAGCGCAGACAAAACAACCAGAGCAAAACTGACCCTTGCGTGGTAGCCGTCGGTCCACGCCATCTGCTTCCGGGGTTGTGCCAATCAGCGCAGGACGCAAGCCAGGCCTGGGCGGGCCCCGAGGAGGTGGGCGTGGCCTGAGAGACGCCGGGGGCGGGGCGCGGGGGGAGGAAGGGCTTGGCTGTGAGGGGCCCCGGGGCCAGGCAGGGGGCGGGGCCTGAGCGTCCCTCCTTCTGGCTCTTGGCGCCTTTTTTCCGGGTTTTTGAGGGGAAACCCGGCAATGGAGCTGGAGCAGGCCAGCAGTCCGGGAAACAGCACCTCTCTGAGAAGTCAAAGTAGGGCGGTCATTGGATCCAGGAAAATTTCTTACTATTGAAGTTTAATTTTACTCGGCCGGGTGCGGTGGCTCACGTATGTAATTCCGGCACTTTGGGGAGGCCGAGGCGGGCGTATCCCCTAAAATCAGAAGTTCGAGACCAAATTTCCCAACATGGTGAAACCCCTTCTCTATTAAATATACAAAAAGAATTAGGCAGGTGTAGTGTCACCGGGCTTCAATCCCAGCTACTCAGGAGGCTGAGGCAAGAAAATCGCTTGAACCCGGAAGGCGGAGGTTGCAATTAGCCGAGATCCAAGCACTGTACCCAGCCTGGGCGACAGAGCGAATCTGTCTTAAAAAAAAAAAAAAAAAAAAAGTACAAATAGAAACTAAATACAGTGTTTTCTCTATAGATATGTTAGATATTATATTCAACATAACACGTGATATTCATCATCTAGATGAGCTAGGATACAAGTGACAAAGTCCAATGGTTTTAAAGAAAAGAGCCGGGCGGTGGCTCACGCCTGTAATCCCAGCACTTTGGGAGGCCGAGGCGGGTGGATCACGAGGTCAAGAGATCGAGACCATCCTGGTCAACATGGTGAAACCCCGTCTCTACTAAAAATACAAAAAATCAGCCGGGCATGGTGGCACGTGCCTGTAATCCCAGCTACTCAGGAGGCTGAGGCAGGAGAATTGCCTGAACCCAGGAGGCGGAGGCTGCGGTGAGCCGAGATCGCGCCATTGCACTCCAGCCTGGGTAACAAGAGCGAAACTCTGTCTCAAAAAAAAGAAAAGAAAGTCAGGGCAGGGCGCAGTGGCTCACGCCTGTAATCCCAGCACTTTGGGAGGCTGAGGCGTGCGGATCAACCGAGTTTACTAGTTGGAGACCACCAACCTGGCCAACGTGGTGAAACCCCATCTCTACTGAAAATACAAAAATTAGCCAGGCGTGGTGGCAGGCTAATCCCAGCTACTTGGGAGGCTGAGACAGGAGAATTGCTTCAACCTGGGAGGTAGAGATTGCAGTGAGCCAAGATCACATCAGTGCCTTACAGCCCAGGCAACAGCGAGATATTCCATCTCAAAAAACAAATACAACGAAAGGCCAGGTGCAGTTGCTTATGCTGCAATCCTAGCACTTTGGGAGGCCGAAGCAGACATAATCACATGAGGTCAAAAGTTTCGGCCGGGTGCGGTGGCTCAAGCCTGTAATCCCAGCACTTTGGGAGGCCGAGGCGGGTGGATCACGAG